TGGCTGATCATATTCAGTTTACGATTCAAAGAAGAGGAAAAAGGGGTTTTAGGACCTTTAAAATTAATTTTGCATTAAGCCAATTAAAAATCTAAACCCAATTGAATACGATATTGGTCGATATGCAGTGGCTTTAATAAATTCAACTTTAGATAAAGATTTAAATAATGATGAAGCACTGGCTATTGCAGTCCATATCTTAAATGCAGAAGAAGGTCAAAATCTTCAAATAGCTCCTATTAAGGATCAAGAAAAGGCTATTGATCATATATTTGAGATTATTGAGAATTACTTTCATGTTCACCTCAAGCGCGAAGGATTTAACTATTCTCGTTTTGTTACACACCTTGAATATTTGCTTCAAAAAAAACAAATTACAAAATGATAGTTCAAGTCAAAATCAACGATTATATGATGAATTGATAGTTGAATATCCAAATACATTTGCTTGCGTAAATAAAATTTGTAGTTTCTTAGAAAATTTTTTACAGACTAAGATGAGCAAAGAAGAAAAAGTATATTTAATATTACATGTTAACAGATTATTAAGTCGGGATAATTAATCAGGGAGAAAAATGATTATGAAAAGCAAATATCAGAAACTAATTGATAATGTTGTGCAATATGTAGGTGGTGAAAATAATATAAGTTATTTTACTCACTGTGTTACTAGATTGCGCTTTAATATCAAGATAAGAGTAAGGTTCAAGAAAAGGAAATAAATCAATTCCGGGAGTAATGGGAAGTCAATGGTCTGGAGATCAATTTCAGATCATCATTGGTCAGGCAGTTGCTGATGTTTTTAATGCTATTATTAAGCAAAATGATTTGCATATCGAAGGTGCAATTGCCGTTAATGAATCTAAAAAAGGAATTTCAAGTTCAGTATTGGTTTAATATTTGAATCTTTAGCTGCCATCTTATCCCCCTTAATTCCTTTGTTAGTGACTGCAGGAATGATCAAGGTAGTAGTAATTTTAGGCGAGTCTTTTGGATGGCTTTCTGCTACATCGCCTACAACTATAGTTTTGAGCTTTGCATCCGATGCCGGATTTTATTTTTTACCTATATTTGTTGGCTCGGCGGCCGCTAAACGATTCGGAGCAGATTCTGGTTTAGGCATGCTGGTAGGTGCAATTTTAATACATCCAACTTTTATTTCATTAGTTACCAAAGGAACTGCACTTTCGGTCTTTGGCTTACCAATCTATAGCACTAATTATTCTAGTACAATTTTTCCAACAATTATTGCAGTTTGGGTAATGTCATATATTGAAAAATTTATTGCTAAACACTCACCAGAATCTATTCGTTCAATTACTGAGCCTGTAATAACTATCTTGCTAATGATTCCATTGTCTTTAGTGATTATTGCTCCAATTGGTGCTTTTTTAGGTACATACTTAGTAAAAATAGTTTTGTGGTTATACCACACGGCAGGATTTTTAAGTGTTGCCTTATTAGCTACTATCTTACCGTTTGTGATTATGACGGGAATGCACACTGCATTCGTTCCATATTGATGCAAATGTATGCCAAAATGAAATACGAACCAATTTTTATGCCCGCTTCTATTGTCTCAAATTTAAACCAAGGAATTGCCTGCTTAGTAGTAGCTATTAAAGCAAAGGACAAAAGTTTGAGATCAACTGCTTTATCTTGTGCAATTGCTGCTCTTTTGGGAGGAGTTACCGAACCAGGAATGTTTGGTGTTACATTAAAATTAAAAACACCAATGTATGGTGCAATGATTGGCAGTTTTTTTGGTGGTTTATATGTTGGTATAACTCATACATATAATTATGCGATGGGAAATGGTGGACTTTTAGGATTAACTACATATGTAGGTTCAAGTCCAAATAACTTATTTAATGTTTGTATAGGTGTAGGAATTGGAATGATAATTACTTTTATTGCTACCTTTATTTTATATAAGGGTAATTCAATTGGTGAAGAAATTGCAGCAGTTGAAAATAGTGAGGTGATAGAAAATGTCTAATTTTTCCAAAGGATTTATGTGGGGCGGAGCAACCTCTGCTAATCAAATTGAAGGTGCAACTGATGTTGATGGTAAAGGCTTAAATACTTCGGATATGATTGCATTGGGTACAATGGCTAAATCAAGATTAATAACACCAACTACACAACCAGACTGTGTGTATCCAACAAGGCACGGAATGGTTTTATGAGCACTATGAAGAAGATATCAAATTAATGGCTGAAGCTGGCTTTAAAGCTTATCGAATGTCGATTGATTGG